TTTTTTAAAAAATTGGTTATATTTTGTTAGCTCCATTGTCATTTTTCTGTTACAATATGTATGTATATGTAGTATGGAATGTAATTTCTCATTTTAGATTATCTTTATAAAGTGATGTTAATGACACTTCGAAATGTATTTAATAAAATGTTATATTTTAAAAGACTCTAATACTAAATATATTTTGGTATTAATTAAGGTACAATCTTGAACAAAATAGAGAATAAAATGTCATATAAGCTTAAATAAAATTTAAATTTAAATAAAATTTTATTCGCTGCTTTGGTCAACATCAATCCCAATTAATGTCAAATTCAATATTATAGTTTCTAATTTAATAATAATATTTGATTTCTTAAATGTGTTTTAAAATGTAACAAAATAACGCAATTTTTTAACGAAAATAAAATAAATAACGGAAACAACAATTAAGCACAATTATGCATTAAAAAATCAATCTCCTCATTTCTCTTTCTTTAGATTTTTAGATGATTCTTCCATAGAGTCCAGCCACAATTGAAGTTCTTTAGTAGGCTCGGGTTTACTCGCTCCTGGTTCGATTTCAGTAATAACATCGTCCACAGAATCTTTCAATCCAGTCACAGTTTGTCTACTTAATACAACGGCGCGAATAAAATTATCCGTGAGACTGATAAACTGTTGCTCTATGTAAAAATGTTTGCCCTCCCAGTAAATAAGCTGTAAAAATAGAAATTAAATTTTAGATCAATTTAATTATATATTGAAAAAACTGAAATGGCGCAGAAACCATCGATCGTACCTTTGTTGTAACTTTGTACAGCGTGAAAATAGGAATTGCTCGGCGATATCGTATTGTAGATGCACCTTGGACACCACCGCCTTTTCTTTTTGCAATCGCTGCATAAATTCCTAACTTGTCATAAAAATGGAAACGCGCAAAATCCAATTCACGTAAGTATCTCGAGTTATTCATGTGTTTCAAAACCAAGTCAACGTCCTGAGTAGTACAGATGCCTGAAATCGAGAGAAATCCGTCAGTTAGTATTATTATACTACGAAATATATGTAGTCAGAATATTTTGCAATTAAACAATTCAAATAATATATCATAATGTTCGTCCAGATCGTACAGCCCACGATCTAGTCGTGCGCAATGCGTTATCATTTGTCAATCCTTTTTAATTAATATCTAATTTATTATTGCGAAAATTGCAAAACGATAAAGGACTTTTCAGTTTACCGCGCTCTACCTGTACGTGAGCGTTTGGACGAACATTATAAAACACCCTGTATAAGCTCATATGACAGACACTATTCTAATTCTGTGTAGCCACATTTATACGATGTGTCGACAAGCACTATTTCGCATTCTTACATTACCGTATCGAAAAACTCAATTTTGCTTTTTTAATTAACCGATAATATTTCGCGAAACAATCATTCCAAGAAAATGATTAAACTTATCAAAAGTGTGAATTTTTTAGTAGAATCTCAGTTTTCAAATGAAAATTTGTGTGCTTGTTTAAAGATATTGACAATTATATCGACCCGCGACGATTATATCTCAAGAGATCCCAATTCATAACGTAATCGGTCGATGACATGACTGATTACTATTGCACTTACTACTGATCAGCCGGTCAGCTGATCGTAATAGCATAATAGTTACGTAACTGTCGCAAATGCGTGTCACATTTACACCACGCATATCTTGTGCATCAACGATTATTCATAATCACGTGCGTTTTAAACCGACAAAAAATTGAATAAAAAAATTGACATGGTTGCGCCAAAACCAGACTTTATACTTTACGTAAATAATGTAATTATATCTATTTTTATCATGATTAGCATATTACAAGTATATCTATGTGTAAAATATAAAATAATGAATTATAAAATATAGAAAAATCGTATTTGACAATAATAAAAGACTCATTTTTGTAAATAATATTCAAGAATAAATAGTATTGAAAGTTTTGTACAAAAATTTATAATATTTATATATCTATATATGTATACATATTTAATTAAAAATTGTTAGAAATTATTTTAAAATGTATATTTAAAATAAAAAATTATCAAAAATTTTGCTCGAAAAATCTTATACAAAAATTTACATTAACAAGAACAAACACATGCGTCGTCTGAATACCTGCTCTATAGAATTGAGGAAAACATACTAAATACCGGCACATTATACAGTTATTTACTCACTATTCTGCTGCATAACGTTATTGAATTTAAGCATGGTTCAAACATACAGATATTACACATTAATATGTCTATTTATGAGTTACTGTGATTTTATTATGTATTGCAATATGTATGTGCAAATGTATGTGCAAAATATGAATATTTTAACGTATTGAAGGAAAATACGTCCTAACATTTCTTCCTCGATAAGCATTGTAATTTTCAAACCTTGATCTTAATACAAATAATGACAATACGATGCAATACTTTGCATGACTTTGCAAAGTTTATCTTTTTATCTTTCTAACCACTCTGCAAATTAATTCTGCATATTTTGTATTAGTTTTAGTATTTTTATTAATTATACTAATGTATTATTGCATTAATGCATTAAATTAATTATATTAATGTGCATTATATAGTAACATAATTATTTCTATAAAGTGTTTTTTTATCATACTTCAATATTATTCATCTCTTTTTACACAAAGTCTTTTTTATTTAATTTTAAAAACTCAAATACTGACCAATTAATTTATTTTGTAACAATTTTATTTTTGCAAAATTTAAAATGTGTTGTGTAACAAAATTGCTTCGTTGAAATACATTAAAGTTAAAAGAACAACTCATTAATATCTAATGCACTTTAACGCAATTCTTATAGTGACCGTCTTATAGTGACCTAGTATGAGAATTTACCGTAAATCGTGGTCGTGTCGAAGAGTTTCTTCTTCTTCTCGAATAGTCTGCCCCATGCAACAGTGAGAATAATTCTTATAAAGTAGTTCACATCAAACAGGAAATATAGAATGGCGATTATCGCCACGCAGCAGGTACACAACATCGTCGGCTTTCTATGGGCGTCTTGATATCTGAACAACTTCGCAGTCTCGATATGTACTTGCTCACGGTCGACAGAAGACTGACCGCGAATAATACTCCGACGTATCTAACGTCCCTGATATTCGAAGAACCGGTCCGACACAGTAGGTAAAAACGCTCCAACAATCTTTTAGATTACAAATTGATGATGATTAAAATATTATCGCGATCAAAAAAAGAAACATCGACTTTTTAAACAAAATATCTTATGTAAACTTATCACGGAAAATCACGTTTATTTATATAATTTATATAGATACATTGTAGAAAAAATTAAAAATATTAATTACTGTGTATATAAATATTACTTCTTAATTCTTATTTAATTTCATTATTAATTACAATTTTTTTCAAAAAAAAGTTTATATTTTTATATACGTAATTTTTTAGTCATAAGATTCAAAAATATATTTCTTTTTATAATTAAATTTTTCAAGAAGCATAAAGTTACTTTTAACATGTAAAAATTTTATTAGACTATATCTCTATTACAATTATTTAAATTTTAATATTTATTTCTTGATAACAAGATTTTAAATATCGAAAAAATCGAAGAATAATATTTTTTAGTTCTCCATTTTGTATCAAATTTTATTAGGTTTGTTATGTAACTTATAAAACTCGATGGTCAAAATATCGAAAAACAATAGCATAGTTGCTTGTCATCGGCATTGGCAAATCAGTGACCTTAGTAAATCGTAAACCTCACTTATGCTCACATCAGTGCATATTTAATTAGACGGCATTATTGCATTAAACATAAACGAGATAGGTAAATGTATTGCTTTTTTTAAATAATTTCTTTTTAATAATTATATTATTTTTTTAAAAGGTTGAGATTATTGCAAAGTAACATGTTCGTCTAATAGATGTATATTTCTTCCAGTGTGTGAAGGCACCTAATACACTATGTAGATAAATACAGGCATTTGTTATATATTAAACAAGTTAACATTTGCTATTTCCCTGCCATATATTTTTCATTGATGCGGCATTGTGTACAAAAGAAATTTAAGGCATAAAACGCGCGTGAAATATCTAATCAATTGTTGACACAAGTAGCGCATTTATTTTATATTTTATATATATAGTGTCTAATATATGTAATAATATTTAATTGAATAATAAATTAACGCGAATAATGGCACAAAGATAAATACATTTCGCTTCTAATTTTGAGGTATTTCCTTTGTCGTTTAATGTAAAAATATTACATACATAATTACATAATTTAATTTTCACAATGTAGAATACTAACTTTTAACTGATACTTTAATATTTTAATTCAATATTTTACATCAATTGTTTTATACTCATTTCAATAAAATATTACTGATAATGATAAAATACAGATAACAAAAACAATTTTGAGCTCGTATTTTTGTTCTAAACATTTTTGTTTGAGATTTTAGCTAAGCATTTATGTTTTATTTTAATAGAAATACGAAGAAGAAATAATCGCTCTCTGCGATTTTATTAACTATATTTCTTTTCAATTACACCGAACATCAGGCCCATCGTAGATCACTTTAGTTATTTCTTTTTTTCAGAACATTCTTACGCACTAAATTATCTTAATATTGTAATATCGTAGTACCGTAAATATGTTGTGAGTAATTAAGTACTCAAAGTCGCAAGAATCATTAAGATTAATCGATTTCATTCCGGAAATCAGCAAGGAAATCATCTGTCGTCCGATGATTGATGAAAGATCAAGAATATTTAACACTCCGTCGATTATTACACAGTCGTGGTTGTGTATATCGGTGTCACAGCGACGCCGTTGCTGGACGTCGCGGCGTCTTTTTGTCAGCAATGCGTCGTCATCGCGATTGGATCCTGCCTCAACATCGCCGAGGATATTTCGTTGCTCTCCATCCACCTTCTCAGTTCTGGAGGTATCTCGGGTCGCCAAGGAGGCACCTAGAAATTATAATACAAAATAAATATAAGACACAATATCATTATATTAATTAAATATTCATTAGAAAAATAATTGAAGCATTTGCTATGTGAGCCAATGCTTTTCCATTTCATAGTATTATAATTTTAATATTTTTCACTAGCAATATTTTTTAACGGCAATTGAATCGTTCGAAATGGTACGAGTGGCATTAAGTGCATTTACAACTTTTTCCCACCTGCGTCACACCTGCTTCGACATTTCCATTCTGCTTTACCGTACGATTTAATAGTGCGCCAATGACGGTCTCTGCGCTACAATCAAGAAGTCTCTGCTTGCAAATTGCGATGGCTCTTATGAAACCATCGCTCGGCGTAATAAATCGATGCTCCATAAATAAGCTCCTTTCGTCCCAATAAATTATCTGGAATAAACAGTAAATACATTATACTAGGCGAAATGGAAAAATCACTTTTCAAAATACACCTGGGTCTCTTTCTGCACGGTATTTTTTTACACGATTCACATTTACGCGGTTTTTTTAACACGTTTTATTCACATTTTCTCATACGTTTTACTTACTTTTACACGGTTCGCAGAAAATGTCACGAAAATCACGCGTATCCTGTACGAATATTTCAAATCCTCCTTTTCTATCGCCCTTAAGAATATGTACGCGCGTTTATATGTAATATAAACAAACAAGCGTCTTATAATTGGAGTACGAAGATGTCCATAATCACTTTGTTGCAAATCAATTTTTACACGACTTTTTTTACACGATTTTTTTACACGGTACGCATCCACCATGTAAAAAGAGACTCAAATGTATAAGATTCCAAAGTTGTTAAAGAATGTGTTGTTCATTAAAAGTTACGGTAGTACGTAGTTTGTATTTACAATTAGACTTCCTATTTGTGACACATAATCATGACTAATAATGACTTCATACTATTCTCGCGTTTTATAGCCAAATACCCATAAGCGTCAAACACAATACACAAGCGTCTAATAATCTCAAAAATATGTTACAATCTTTGTAAATTTATTTTTTCTACAACAGTTGCGTTAACCAAAAATTAAAAAATTTTTTTTTTCACTGTACTCTAACTTAATATTTTAACAAACACAATACATATTTTATATATAAAAATTATAAATATTTAGTGGCTATAATATCTTTGTGCGTTTATATCGCATTGAAACATGTGTCCCTAATTTAAAATATTCGTTAAAGCAAACGTTTCTATAATAAGAACCACATGAGCTTTGAAACTATGCGTCATACAACCGCGCTATGCATTGTAATGAAAAAAACAAAATAGTATTTACACATACATTAGAAATAATAAAAAAGTGCTTCAAAAAAAAATAATTGTACATGGCGTGATTTACATGATGTTTGGTTAGTCGGCAAATAATTACAGTTTTAATGTATGCAATTTTATGAAACGTATTTTGAAATCAATTATTTTTTTATGTGTTGATTATTATATATTATGTAAAAGCTTATTTCGTACTTTATGTAACTATGTTATTCGTGTTTATCAATAATATCAGTATTGTTTAATTTCAGACCGTTGAAAAAAAAAAGAACAAGATTTTTGGAAGATTTTTTTGTACGAATTCAAGTTTGGCCAAGTGCAGCGCATACAGCTCGGAATATCAACGAAGTATGGAGCGAGGGAACGTTAACGAAAGTACAGTCCAACATTGGTTCAAAGATATCGTGATGCAGACGTTAGCCTTGAAGATCGTGAGGGTCGCGGACGGCATTCTTTGGTGGAAGCCGATCAAGGCTTCGGTGGAAGCCAATCCACGTACAACGGTTCGAGATTTTGCAGAAGAATTAAATGTAGAGAAAATAATTATTAAAGAACATTTAAAAGTAATTAGAATGAGAAAAAAACTTGGCAAATGAATTCCCCGCATTAATTGAACGTTGATTGACCACCAAAGAATGTCGCGTTCGCGACCCTCACAATCTTCAAAACTAATGTCTCCATCACGAAATTTTTTGAACCAATGTTGAACTGTATATTTATTAGCGCTTCCCTCCTACACCGTCCTACATCCTTCGTTGATATATCGAGCTGTTTGCGTTTGGAAGTCTAATTTCGGCCAAGCTTGAACTCATAGAAAAAAATCCTCCAAACATTTTGTTTTTCCATATTTTTTCAACGGTTTGAAATTGAACAAAACTGATATTGTTAATAAACACGAATAATACAGTTAGATAGAATACTAAATAAGCTTTTAAATAATATATAATAATCAACATACAATGAAATAATTTACTTCAAAATATGTTTCATAAAATTGCGGACGACAAAACCGCAATACATAACATGTGTATAATGTTCCGATTCTTGTGGCAGACGTGTAATATATACAACAAAATAATATAACATAATAATACTCCTTATTCATAAAAATACATATATTATTGAATGAAAATGCATATTTAACATTTAAAACGCAATATTGACTGCGGTGGACGGATCATTAAATGCGCAATATATTAGCAAAATCACGCGATCCTTTATTTAGTTATATAACTTTAATTAGGTAAAAATATTTAAATTGTTATACAAAAAATACTCCCTAATTTTTTTTACTTTTTTATATAAACATGAGTTTTTGCGCGATACGTAATTTAATAAATTATTCCAAATTACCTTAGACGTTATTTTAAAAATCGTTAATGGCTTGATGAAACGCCTGTAGCGTATAGTAGCAGCTCCTTGCACCAGGCCTGATCCTTGGGAACAAACTTCTCTGTACAGATCTGTCCTTTCGAAGAAATCGGCCCGCGCAAAATCGAGCTCGCGAAGATACCTCGCGTTGTTCATGTGATACAAGAGAGCATCCACATCAGTGGTAGTGCAAACCCCTGTAAAAGACAATGTGTAATGAAAAATATGTTATAAAAGATTGCACATTGCACAACCAACTGCAATTGGATTGTGTAACTTCGATCTTGATTGCAAATGTGCACTGTGGTTAAGCACGTGATATGTAAATACGCGTTATAAAAAAAAAACTAAAATGAATCAATTATATCTCATGTTTATTTCAACAACACGAGTAATAAACGGTGATAAAAGTTCAATAAAAACTACACAATCCCACGTAGCACAAAACATCCTGAGAACATCCTGATGACTTCCTGACTTCCTAAGGATATCCAGGATGTGCCCAGGATGTTTGGGAATGTGTAGTTTAATACTTCAATAGTTAAAAACATATCAAAAATATGTTAAGCAATTAACTCAAACTTAAAAATAAAAAATTTGATCTGATGCTGAATATATTTAAATCTTACAAAGTAATAACTAGATTTTTGTATAACTAAAATCAGTTCATTATATGCAAGGATCATCCCAGTAAACACAAGCTAACAGTAACATAAATGTTATAATTTCTCACTCAACAATGTAACTGTAACATAACACATGCCTTGTACATAAAAATTATATTGTTGAGTGGGAAATTATAACATTAATGTTATGTTACTGTTACTTTGTGTTTACTGAGATTATATGTAATGTTACATTATAGAAGATAATACTTCAAGAACCGATTGATTTTAACTTCGAAAATTAAAAGAATTAAGGATGCGTAACTGGTCGAGCAGCTGTATAATTACAAACAACTAATCGGTTTGCAATGTTATATTCGCCGGAGAGCTATATACAAATCTCTCTACGAGGAATAACGTGAATACAAAATTAAAGGTAAATTACTGATCACCCGTCAAAGAACATACATTTACAATAACAACGCTTTTTCCATGCCGGAAAGGCTTGAAATTTTGCGCTATTTAAGCGCATTATGATACGCAAATCAATACTCGTCCGGATTTGCGACACGAGCATCCTACCAGCTGATTCTACATGTGGTAGGTCAAGGTTCATGCCATACTGAGATAACCAGGAAAATCGTAAGGATTCTTGGATTATAATACATCCGACATAATCTCTTCGCAATAATCTCTTATCGTAACTGCCTTCTTCATGTTTGTCACTTTTTTTATGGAATAAATATGCATTATGCATATTAGAATAATTTCTGAGAAAAGTATTATGTACTTACTAAAAAAATGTAGCATTTTTCCAATACTCTTGACATTTATTAAATGTTATCGCTTTTAGAAAAATATCATTATATATTTAACCGGATTCTTGTATCCCTTATAAAGTATAATCTTTACACTCTTCTTACATATATAAAAGTCAGACTAAAAAGACTAATTCATTATTTATTTTACTGTCGTTCTATCGTTAAAGAAAAAAAATAATTGATAATTAATAGAATTTTTGTAATTTTATTCATTTGCAGTCAAATACTTTTTCGAGTAGTAATTTTCGTGTAAAGCATAATTTTTTAAGCAAAAGTTAATATTTCTAGAGGAATGTCACGTACCGTAGACCACAGTTTCATCGAAAATGTGCACTCTTTTCTTGCAGAAGCGTGCGAGGAAAACGGTGAGGAACATGCGCAGGAAATAGTGAAGTTCAATGAGGCCATAAAGGAGTACAACGCCCGCAAAAATCCCGACGAGGACCCAGCAAGTCATCATCCTGACCGTCGATCGGGTTGTCACCCCGCGAAAATCGGCGAAACGCTTCCTGTTTGTTCCGTATTAGACTTTGGAAATTCTCCACCGCTGCAACAGCTTGCACCGGTTTATCGATTCGTCTGGGTAGTTGGCAACGTTCGCTGGCCCTTCTCGTCCCGTCAATAAAAACATAGGCTGCCCTCGTACCATTTCGAAAAATTCCGAATTAGCTGCAGCAGCATCGACGGATTCATCTTGAAATGTTTGATGACATCATTCTGACGAACCTTGTGGAAAGAAATTGAAATTATAGGTTTAATTTTCTCTGTGTATCCGAAAAATTAGTACTTTAAATTGATATCTAGCAGTAAGAATAATTTGTCCTTTTGTGGACAATAAAAGCAAATATCTTTCTTAACGAATGTATTCTTAATTAACAGTCTTCGGCTATTATAATTTGACTATTAGCAACTATTATTAAATTTATACAAAATACATGTAAATAAATATAATTACAAAGTATAAATAAAAAATCTGAAAATATCGGCTTAATAAAAATATTATTTTGAAACAGCGATATTAGTTGTGGGAATAATTTTTTTGACATAAAGTAAGTATTACCATAAGAGTAGTCTGGCCCATCACTAATATGTTTGCGCATTTAACATGCTTACTTTTTTAAATCATCGTTATATGCGAAACGTTTCTATACATATTTATTATCCAAGAGACAGTAATCTGGACTTTCAATGTCTAATGGGTTAAGTGTTAATTTTCACACGTCTGCATTTTTCAAAAGTTTCGAATTTAATTAAGGGCATTAACCACAGGCTTAAACAAAACCCAAATCACCGATTGAATAAAATCTTCAGTACAAATGTGAAAATACACGAAGCTTTTTTATAAATGTTGAAATTACAGATTTGCGTGCTGACGCTAATCGATTTTACCAAATAACAGCCGACTGTCTGCAATTCCCATACGATTTCCATACGATAAAACAAGATGTAATACTGTTCAAATTATTCAAATTGATTTCTCAATAACCATGTTAAAAAAAATTAAATTTTCTATAAAGAACACAAGCGTATTATTTTGTTGAAATAGCTTGAAATGTCTGCTTTGTGAATCATGCTACTGTGAAAAATTCTTGAAAAGTATAGAACTAAAAAAAAATCAGCATTTTTAATTCAGCGAAAAATATTACGTGAGTGTGAATGCGATGCGTCGCAACGTTGAATTTATTTTATTGAAATAAGTAAAAATTGTATGTTTCGTGCATGGGTTTCGTGCATATTTCGAATTAATGTGTGATCGTCTTGTGTAATAAAAAAGCAAAATAAAATCGAATAAGGTGAGTCAACTGAACTGTACCAAGGTTACACCAAGGTACAACCTACTTTCGATACTTTCGCGTTTATCAGCGCATTATCAGGCGAGACACGTTTTCTACTCACTCTGTTCTTCTTCCCGAAAATTTAGTATGCACACGTCAAATTCATCTTGTAATACACATGCGCACATACACATATACAAGTGCAATACGTTACTTCCGACGTTTTTTCTGCGGTCGCACTTACAAATTCTCCAGCAATCTTCTATCAATAGATTCAATGAAGAGGCTAATGATTTTCCGGCAAGATTTTCCGTAGACAATCACCAATAACGAACGGGCAAATCACATACAGAATGAAGTCCATCCAGAGAGAGATCCTATCCCGTCGATGACATCTCACGTACTGGTGATCGACGTCCTCAGCCGGCCGCCGTCGCCGGCGCCGAGATGTCCCTTCCCGAAGCTGCATCTGCGCCGAGGACATCCAACTAGGAAGTCGAACTCTTGGTGGGAGGTTCAGGGTGGCTTGTGGAACTTTGACGTCATTCTCGTCTAACAAATTCCAACTATAAAATTGATTTTAGTAATAAATGCAAGCCCCAGGCGAAACAGGAAGCCAGTGAAAACCAATTAAATCACTAGAGGCCAATCAATTAATCAAAACTCAAAGCCATTTATTTGTATTAGTTACTTTAAATAAATATTAAATAAGCATAAATAAAAAGTAATAAATTAATATTAAATATTTTAAATAAGTATTAAATAATGTATTAAAAAATAATCAGTAGGTATAAAGAAACGAAATAACTTCAAATAAAAATTTTTTTTTTCACACACACATTACTAAACATTATTTTATTCAGAACAATATTAATATTTTACTACTTTTTTATCGCCACTTCCATACATACTTGAGAATCTTGAAAAGAGATGAGGAACAATTTGATGGAGCGAAATCATCGAGTAATAAAATATCAATAGAAATACTAGTCTTCGCCACTCGACTCGTGTTTACTGAGGGAAGTGATGTTTGCCTTGCTTCATAGTATAAATGCGTTAATACGACAAAAGATAAGAGCGTGCATACAGAAATCTGGTGTGAAGATAAACAAGATCTAATCTTAAATATATGTACTAAAATGGATCAATATGTATCACAAAAGGTAAATATTTATTTCCTTTCTTTTTCTTCTAAATTTTTATTACTATTTTTTAATTTATTTCTTATTCTGAAAGCGCATCGTTAAAAAAAAAACAAACTTGAAATCGATTAAATTCCTTCAGGTAGCATAGTGTCCTATCTTTTTACATTTCAAAAATAAACAATATAAAAGCTTATCATTCGTCATTAAGAATTCCGCACGGAAAACCATTTTATAAATAGAATGTATCTCGACGAGACGTATTGCCTAATGTGCGTGAGATATACATAATTGCCGTGTATATACGAGAACATAGTGATTTGATTAACAGCCATTCGAAGGCTAAGCATGTACAAAACAGGCAACACTAATACTACGAGAGCAGATACTTCGACTCTCGCATCAAGGAAGTACTTTCATACGCTAATGTTTTATGGAAAACGCGTCTCAAATAGTCGGCACGAATTCGCAGCGAAATCAAGACAGGAAAAAAGTCACGCACCATGTAAGAATTCTCGCAAACATTTCAACTTGTTTTTTTTTGTCGCTTTTTTCCCTTATGTCCTATCTCTCTCGCGGCTGATTCGCAAATAACAATAGTACATGTAAATATAAATAGAAATGTGGTGAATTAATGATTATTTTTTTCAATAAATTCCATAAGAAAATTTGTAATCAAGAAAAAAAACACTGATATCTATTACTTTCTGATTTTAAAAATACAATTGTAAAAAATATATGTAAATAAAAATATATAAATACTTTATTCATAATCATTCCATTCACCGTCAAAAAATATTATATTATTCAAAAGTGGTAAAAAAAACAATGATCATCACAATTGTTTTTCAGCCAAAGCATGAAGAAACTCGACAACGAAAGGTTTATCGCTCGAATTGTATGGAGACAATGGAAGATCGTATGGAATGGGAAATACTGGAACGGCTGGATCCTCTTCGTCCTGAATTGGAAATGTCGTTGTCTTCGTCTGAACAGAAATACAAACAAATTTTAGATAATAATATGATTAGAATTAATCAAATATACTTTTTAAAAATATTTCGATGACATTAAATTATTAATATATTAGAAATTAGATTAAAACGTAGTAGCAATAATAGTGCTTACGACGAATTTTGGTATAAATATAACACCAGCTTCATAACTTGATATACAATAGTCGCCTCGGTAAACACCCCAGGCGGCTTTGCTCAGATTCGCACTGGTGAGCACAAACCAAGAAATACTTTTCAAGTCGGGCGAAATTCTTGTGTAAGATTTAATATGAGGCATCGCGCGGTCACGTCCTGTTCGCGTAGCTGTCCACTGGCTAAATAACAATAAAAATCCGTGTATAGAAATAGTAAGTCGCCGCTAAACCACTAATTTGAATAGAAAAAAAAAATAATTGTAGCTTACCATAAATATGATTCTATCCACTCCTGTTTTGAATGCAATTCCTCACTGTATGGCAAACAGCAAGACAAATTTTGGCAATCAAAGCTCTGCTTGTAATTTTCTCTCGATGGATAAATAAACTTGAAGTTCGGAGGACTCTTTGGAAAACCTTTAGATTCTTTCGACATAGACGCAATTATTTCTTTCGACAACCAGCCTTTAAAATTTCGACCAAAACTGCCGACACTGGAACTTTGCGCGATTATAGGCCACTGAGGAGCATCCGGTGGTAATGTGACGTGACGCAATAGAACAAACGCTAATTTTCTATATCCCCATAGACCGCCCTTGTGAGTTCCAGGAACGGAAGCGACAAAAAACACATTTACGGCAGAAAAATCTGCCCTTTGCACCGCCAATATCCACTGTGTTAAAGCTGGGTACTTATATGTTTCTAAATATCGTTTCAGATCCTTTTTAAAGCCCGTTGGAGATTCTCCACCGTTAGGATTCGCAGCTTCTGCAGCCGACAGCAAAGGTAGATGTGGCGAAATCCACAGACTAATTAATACACAATGAGAAAATTACCTATAAACGTTATAGTGCTGATAAAAATATTTAGAAACATTTAACAAACCCTTGTGTTCTATTCTCCCAGTCATCAGAGTACAAATTTGCAGTAGAGACAACCACTCGAATTCCACCATCTTTGTATTGCAAAATCATGATCTTGGAATGATGGCAGCCAAAGTCGCTCGGCATCTCCACATTTATCATAGTAATATTGCTGCCCAATTTTTCATGATCTAAATCATCTTCTCTAGAGCCATATAGTATCAACATGTCAGTACGTTGACCAGCCAACAGATACTGTAAACATAGCCAACCAACATCAACCATAAAATTCAGATGAAGACTGTTGACAATCTCTCCAAGACTTCTATCAAGAATCTCAGGAAAAGTGATGGAGAATTGTTGATTATAAGTCTCCTCAGACTTTTCAATTCTTGAGAAAAATATGTTGTAAGGATCTGATAAGGCATATTTTGTTGCAAATTCTCCTGGTTCCACAAATGAATGTTTTATCATTGAAATAGCTTTCTGTCTGACTTCTTGCCTAGATTTTTCAGAATTACAAGCTTGATACATATTCATGAGCATATAGATAAAAGATGCATAAGAGTTCGCATCACTTGGGGAACTGCTTTGAAGTTCACTATCTTGCTGTGAATCACTAATATCCTCCTTATCATTGCTTTCTAGGCTTATCTGTTTTATCTCCTCTAGGCTTATCTCTTTTATCTTGTCTTTTGCAGAGGAACTGGATGGTTCTAAGCTTTTCCCCCTTGTCTGTAAAAAAATTTACACATATTAAATTTATTACTCTTATCTTCTACAGATTCTCTTTCCATTTTACTAACTTTGCTTTCTGAAGCTTCTTCATCGCTCGAAGCTCTAGAAAGTGCTTGTGCTTCTGCATCCATTTGTTTGAGCTTATCTTCCCTTCTCTGCGTCATTACTTTCTTATGCGTCTTTACTTTTTGTTTCAAATCTTCTTTATCATATCTAATACAGTAATAGATAAAGATTCTGTTTTTGAAGATAAACTACTAGTCGCAGGTAAAACATTTACTTTGTTTTGGTCTCTTTCCTTTCTAAGCACTATTTGTAGTACTTTCAACTGATCCATCAATTGTGTACGATCATTACATGTAAAACAGAGAACTTCTGGTATTTCTATGATACCGTCCAATTGATTGATCAGTAATTTCTCCACTAAAATTCAGAAAAAAATTAATTAACTCGTCTAATTATATGAATTAAAAAATATAAATACATAGTTACAGTGTGGATGTGACATTTCACTGAAATGAATCGGATTTTTCCGATAACATTTTTCCATAAATGGACAAGGTTGCTTTGCTAAAATATTAAATGAATAATCTTTCGTTATTTCAAAACACAAAAGTATGACATACATATAACGCTTATAATCATTCTTACCTATAGAATTCATTGTCTTAAATCAGATATGAATTAAGGTGGTTTGAACGAAATAATAATCTACAAAGAAAAATTCTCATTGATCTTGATAACAATTAACACAACATTATGTTACTATAAAATTTTTTTCAAATGACAATTGTTTGAACATAATCATTTGGTTAACACATTCCACATTATCGAGTTATAAAACATATTGGCACTGACTGGATCTGCAACAGTGAATCACTATCAGTGATGTAAGTCAGCTGATTCACAGCCGCATGAAATCGTGATGGAAGGGCACGCACACAAGCGATTACCGTGTCCATGTGCATTCCCCACTCGGCTCTGCTTCGGATATTAGAAAAATATTTAACTTATGTCTTGTTTCTCTCGCGATTGATTCGCGAATAACAATAATACATATAAATATAAATAATAGAAATGTCGTAAATTAATGGTTATTTCTTTTTATAAATTCCAAAAAAAAATTTTTAATCAAGAAAAAAACGTTGATATTACTTAATTTTAAAAATACACTTGTGAAAAATACATGTAAATACAAATATAAATACTTTACTTACAAGCATTCCATTTACTGTTAAAAAATATTTTATTGTTCAAAAGTGGTAAAAAAAAAACAATGGTCAAAATTATCTTTTACTCATAGCACTAAGAAATTCGCTAACGAAAGGTTTGTCACTCGAATCGTATCGGCACAATGGAAGATCGTATGGAATGGGGAATACCGGAACGGCTGGATCCTCTTCCTCCTCAATTGGAAATGTCGTTGTCTTCGTCTGAGCAGAGATACAAACAAATTTAAGATAATAATTTCATTAGAATTAATCAAATATACTTTTTTTAAATATTTTGATGACATTAAATTATTAATATATTAGAAATTAGATTAAAATATAGTAGCTATAATAGCGCTTACGATGAATTTTGGTATAAATATAACACCGGCTTCATAACTCATTATATAATGGTTGCTTCGTTGAACTCCCCAGGCAGCTTTGCTCAGATTTGCACTGGTGAGCACAAACCAAGGAATACTTTTAAAGTCGGGCGAAATTCTTGTGTAAGATTTAATATGGGGCATCGCGCGGTCTCGTCCTGTTCGCATAGCTCTCCAATGGCTGAATAATAATAAAAATCTGTGTATAGAAATAACGAGTCGCTTCTAAACCATCACGTTAATAGAAAAAGACAATTATTACCATAAATAAGATTCTATCCACTCTTGTTTTGAATGCACTTGTGCACTGTATGGCAAACAGCATGACAAATTTTGGCAATCAAAGCTCTGCTTGTAATTTTCTACCGATGGGTAAATAAACTGGAAATTCGGATGACTCTTTAAACCTTTAGTAGTTTCTCTCGACATACACGGAACTATTTCTTTCGACAACCAGCTTTCAAAATTTGGACCAAGACTGCCGATGCTGGAGCTTTGCGCGACTATAGGCCACTGAGGAGCATCCGGCGGCAGTGTGGCGTGACGCGATAGAACATATGTTAGTTTTCTGTGTCCCCAAAAATCGACTTCAATATCTTTGTGGGTTCCAGGAACAGAAGCGACGAGAAACACATTCACGGCAGAAAAGTCTGCCTTCCGCACCGCCCATATCCACTGTGTTAAAGCCGGGTGTCTATATTTACTCAAATATCGCTCGAGATCCTTCTTGAAGCCCGTTGGAGATTCTCCATTGCTGGGATTTGCAGATTCCGGAAGCAGAGGTAGATGCGGCGATATCCACAGGCTATTTAATACAATGAAAAAAATATGTTATTTATAAACCTCACAGTACTGATATTTAACAAACATTTAACAAACCCTTGTGTTCTATTCTCCCAGTCATCAGAGTACAAATTAGCAGTAGAGACAACCACTCGAATTCCATCATCTTTGTATTGCAAAATCATAATCTTGGAATGATGGCAGCCAAACTTGTTCGGCATGTCTACATGTATCATAGTAATGTTGCTGCCCAATTTTTCATGATCTACTCTATCACCATATAGTATCAACATGTCAGTGCGTTGACCAGCCAACAGATACTGCAAACATAGCCAACCAACATCAACCATAAAATTCAGATGAAGACTGTTGACAATCTCTCCAAGACTTCTATCGAGAATCTCAGGAAAAGTGATGGAAAATTGTTGATTATAAGTTTCCTTAGACTTTTCAATTCTTGTGAAAAATAAGTGGTAAGGCGCTGAGAAGGCATATTTTATTGCAAATTCTCCTGGTTCCACAACTGATACCATGTGTCCAGAACGTCTCATCATTTGAATGGCTTTCTGTCTGACTTCTTTCCTAGATTTTTCAGAATTGCAAGCTTGATACATATCCATGATGGATGTTCCTGCACGGGAGCTCGCATTACTTGTAGAACTGCTTTGATAATCACTAATATCTTGCTGAGAATCACTAATGTCATCATTGCTCTCTAAACTCATCTGTTTTATCTTCTTTCTTACAGAGGAACTCGATGGTTCTTGACTTCTCTTCCTTGTCTAAAAAATTTATATTTATTATATTTATTACACTTATCTTCTACAGATTCTTTTTCCATTTTACTAACTTTGCTTTCTGAAGATTCATCACTGCTCAAAGCTCTAGAAAGTGCTTGTGCTTCTGCATGCATTTGTTTGAGCTTATCTTCCCTTCTCTGCGTCATTACTTTCTTATGTTTCTCTATTTTTTCTTTCAAATCTTTTTTAGCATCTAATGGATTCACTTTATTTTTGTCTCTCTCCTTTCTAAGCACCATTTGTAGTACTTTTAATTGATCCATCAATTGTGTACGATCATCACATGTAAAATGGAGAACCTCAGGTATTTCAATAATTCCGTCCAGCTGGTTGATCAGTAATTTCTCCACTAAAATTCAGAAAAAAATTAATTAACTCGTCTAATAAATATATATGTAATTAAAAAATATAAATAAATAGTTACAGTGTGGATGTGACATTTCACTGAAATGAATCGGATTTTTCCGATAACATTTTTCCATAAAAGGACAACGTTGTTTTGCTAAAATATTAAATAAATTATTTTTTATTATTTAAAAATACGAAAATATGACATACATATAACGCTCATAATCATTGTTACCTATAGAATTCATTGTCGTAAATCAGATATTAATTGAGGTAGTTTAAACAAAATAATAATTTACAAAGAAAAATTCTCATTTATCTTGATAATAATTAACACAACTAAAATTTCTTTCAAATGACAATTGTTTGAACATAATCATATGGTTAACACATTCCACGCATCGCTGCCGTGAACAGTCGTAAACTAACAAATAATTGAATAGAGTGTTACCTATGTGAAAGTTGAAGCCGGTAAATTTTGCACTTTTTGTCCAATATAGCTACATCCAAAAACCAATAGAAAGATTTGCTTTTTAGGGACAAAAATAAGGTTGCCAACACTTTTAGAATGCACATTTTCCTATTGGATAATAAAATGTCATCGAATGTAGGGTATATTCTCCCAGAGGGCGTTGATGATCTCCCAGTTTCACACAAGATAAAATTTGTATGTTCTGCTAATTCTACGTAATATTACATAAGTGTACGATAATAATTAAAAGAAGTTTAAAAAGTTTAATTATTCTGTATGACGACGATTGATCCCTGTAAAAAATTTGCGTGTAAATTACAAAAGTGCTTGAAAGGTTTGTACAATTTAATGCATTAAAACATCACAATCACAATTTCTAACCTCTTTCTTGTGAGACTATTTTAAAAATCAGTGTCAAAAAACCAATTAAATATCATATGGTTGACGGCACACAATAAAAAACAAAGACTATTTTAAAATATATGAACTATTTTAGACAAACGAGATATTTAACATTAATATATTGATTAATATAGTGATAAAAAGTGATAGCAACATGATATGTGTATGTTAAAGAAATAATTAATAAGTATGAATGATAAGATGTTGTAATAAACCTATATCTGACTTTTTATTAAATATTGTAAATCTTATTAAATGTTATAGTTATGCATATTTTATATTTTTAGATAATGTTTATCAACCATCTCGCTGTGAAGAAGTAATTGAGGAATTAAGACAGTGTTGTTTGAAGCATTCTTCTATCTCCATAGTTTGCGATGGTATAAATACTTCTGAACCATATAAACATAACACTGTTGATTATGTGAGTCTAATATCTAGTTCACTGAAACTTTCTTTTGATTCGAGAAAACAATTATCTTTTAATTATAATATTTTAATAAATTCCATCCTTTTTCCAGCGAAAAGTTCTGAAATAAACAAGTCATAAAATGCCAAGTGACTTTAGGGCAAACTTACCAAAAAGGAAGGGTTTTATGCACCGTCATCCACGTGCATTTATTCTCTTAGGTTTATCATTTTCTATGTGTATCTTTTTTAGCAAACCCATTTATGATATTACTTTTGCGACTCCAGAACAAAGAAGTCAGAGTACAATTTCTGCCAGATTAAAATAAATTTGTGTATATAAAAGAATGGAAAGTGTAAAAAAAGCTAAGGGCAGACTGAAACAATATCCGACTTTGATAGCTCGATGCCACGAAGCAGCATCAAAATATGCATCTTGTGTGTTAGCGAAATCTAACTTAGAAAAGAACGCTTGCGCCGCGGAATTCAACGAATTGAAAAGATGTCTTGTGAAAGCCGCAGCAAGCAGTAGTACAAGATTATAAACAAGATTGACAATTGACTAGTAGATATCTGTGTCTTTGATTTACACGCCTTTACCTTTAATTCTAAAATGATAAACATGATACGCAGTAAAATAAGTAACATGTCATTCATGTCACACTGCCTATCAGCATTCACTGTACGATTAGTCTTAATATTGTACGCCAATTTTCACGACGTATATTTTGCTGTGCCGTACACAGACGTAGATTATAAAGTATTTACCGATGCCGCTAGGCATGTAGTAGAACAACGATCACCGTTCGAGCGTCATACTTATCGCTATTCGCCGTTTTTGGCTTGGCTTTTGATACCGAACGTCGTATTGCACAAAGACTTCGGAAAGGTCTTATTTTCCGTAGTAGATATACTGATAGCAGTCTTGATCAGAAATATTCTGGCGCGACAGAAATGTAACGAGACCGTAAAAAATTTCTGCGCGCTCTTATGGCTCTATAATCCACTAACGTTAGTGATCTCGACGAGAGGCAACGCGGATTCGTTAGCAGTTCTCTTAGTTACCCTTACATTAGATTTACTGCAGAGAGATAAAGTTACATTAGCCGGATTGTTACACGGGGTATCTGTACATTTTAGATTGTATCCGTTGATATTCAGTCTGCCTATGTTCTTATCTCTGTGTAAGGATAATCGGTTTTTACCGAACAAGAACCAATGGAAGCTTATGCTGAGTTGCGCATTTTCGATTTTTACTTTAACAATCACGGGTTATTATTTGTACGGCTTTCAGTTCTTGCACGAAAGCTTTCTATATCATTTAATGCGTAAAGATGCCAGGCACAATTTTTCTGTATATTTTTACATGCTTTATTTATCTGCTAATCAACCGCAGAATGTAATCCAGAAAATTCTTATGTTTCTGCCGCAATTGGTGCTCTTATTAATGTCATCGTATTATTATTCGGAAAAATCTAAACTGCCATTCGCTATGTTCATTCAAGCAACAATCGCGGTGATGTACAATCCGGTGATAACGTCTCAATACTTTTTTTGGTTTTTGTCTCTATTACCTCTGTGCCTGCCAAATATCGAAATGAGTCTGCGTAGATGCGTATGTTTAATATGTTCTTGGATCTTAAGCCAAGGTGTTTGGTTGTTAACTGCGTACATGCTAGAATTCCAAAATTTCAATTCGTTCAATTTTCTTTGGATATCTAGTCTTCTATTTTTTGCTGTTAATGTAAAAATTTTAGTTGATATTATTGATCATTATAAAAATTGATTATAAACGCGTAACATTTAATGTACGTATTATCCTTTATATGTTTGCAAGAAATAAATGACTTAAGAAAAATCAACCATGCTACCCAGGAAGCAAAATGTTGGTAGATCGACAACAAATTTGATCAAATTTGAATCGCCAACATTTAGCTGTCTGGATAATTTTCATTATACTCTTTTAATGATTATCGTTAAAAGTGATGAATGCATGAAAACATTATGTAAAATAAATGTGCAATCAATGATTCAAAAGAAAATTACATAAAATTTTCAACTTAATATATACAGGATGTCACAAAGCTATTTAAATTTTGTTTATGAATTCTTTAAACAAATTGAAATCGATTTTTGTTTAATATAACACTGATCATCATTTATTTTTACACTTTCATAATTTTACATTTTAAATATACAATGTTAAAAATAAAACTTATATGTGTGTTTATAAAAAATCTCAATTTTAGAATTCTGAATATAATAGTAGAAATTTATGACATCCTGTACTATTTATTTGTAAAGTATGTCAAGGATAATAGATGATGGATTGTTCAAAAAACTTGAATTTATTTAAGTTTTAATAAAAAAGCACATATTATCTACAAGTCTAATTATTTATAAAGTATCACTTTCATTAGTCTACGCGGTACTTATATCGGCGGTAAAAATATCAGACGAGTTATAATGATTCTTAATTTTATTTTTTTGCAGGAATACAAAATACTTATTTACAGATAGCTTCATAAAGTAATAGTGGTAGATTCTGAAAAGGAATGTAGATATAGTAGTAATAATACAATAATCGTAAATCTTACTATAATAATCTAGATTAACTGTGAGCAAGAGCATCTCTTGGATCATTTTCCGAGATTTTTTTTTTTTCATCGATTCGATTGTTCTAAGCTGCTAAATATTATGACGTTAATATTATTGGGCCATTTCTTGTCAGATTATACGAGTTACGGTATGCAAATATTTTTGTTTAAATTTTGCTTTCATTAAAATTTTTATTCACATAATTATCCGCGGAAACACTTGACGCGTGGATAAAACAAAGATGTTTGAGAGAAGTAGATTAATTTTTATTTTTACTAGATTTAACTAGAGACGAATATTTTATAATTTTTAAATAAATCATACATACTTTTTATTTTTTTTTAATAACTACATTTGATTTATGTATCAAATCTTTCCCGATTATTCCACGGAAATGCGGGCTTTTCGGCGAGATTTTCGGCGACACGAAATGGCCCAATGGATACGAGTCGAAAACTGAAATAGATCTTTTTTTTTCATATAACTACGGGTTTTTTACGGCGGATGATGATGAAGTGCAACATATAAAAATAGCATTATTTTCTTTCATTGCTTTCATTACAGTTTGCTCAACTGTGTGCTATATGAAGTAATCTATTTTATTTTTGTTCTCTCTCTTGAAATGGATACACGCACACCTGATCTTCGCGTCAAGCGCCTTGCGCGAACGTTTGCACGGAGATCAGTCGGATAACATCGAGGTAAAATCCCGGGCCGCGCAGGGAATGAAAGTACAGGCCACCGATCGAAGCGATTAAAATTATAAATAATTTCCATCGTGACTGCGAGGCCCGGAAGTTACGACGAGGATAACGTTTTACATTATTCACAAACCAATCCTCGTTTCTCGCTAAGCCTTCCCTGAAAAATCATCGTCGATATGATATACAAAGGAATCGTACGATTACGGGAGACATAGAAGACTATAACTGGGCGAATGCAGCAACGTAAGTCTTTGCTTTTTTCGAGGCACATACATAGAAAGTGCAAAAATCCATCGTCCTTCATTGTTTACATAAAGTCGAATACTTTGGAGAATATTTTAGCGTGCTACTCAAGAATAAAGCTAGTAGCAAATTGTTTTAGAATAAATTTCATAAATGTAAAACATTCCCGCAGAATATCTTTTTTTTTCACCGATATTTTTTCGTAAGGGATTTCGAGTCGATTAGGTAAATGTGATACTAAGTTAAACCTAATGTTTGCCGCGAATACAGGAGTTTTCAGATCATTTTATAATAATCTTAAATGACCTATCCATCATTGTTTAATAATTTTTTTTACAATTATTATTACTTTTATCGTTGCAATGTCATTATTATCCTAGTGTCACAATTACTCGGCTTGACTCTATACGTCGATAATAAATAAAATGTGTGCGCCGATATGTTATAATGCGTTTCTTTTAAGAAACTCTTGCCGGTATGGGATTGCTCGTATTTTCCTTGCAACGATGCAACGTCGGTCGCACAAAGATTATCTTGTTTCATCTCGGCCTTGTACAAAATGAGGAAACATCTACAACGTTACGCGGAAACGAGATACGATGTAAATTTCCAATATATCGACGCATCGATAATTGCGCACTGGATAAAGGAGGATAAAAAAATAGCACGCTGCAATATCCGAGAGGTACGAGTCAAGAAAAAAAAAAACACGATACGAGAACGAAGAAGAAAAATGTCAGACTATGGGAGCTATGTTATGGCAGATATTTAATAAATATAATAACATCGGCGATATATACATTACGTTCTACGGAAAACATAAAATAAACGGCACTATATTCGCTTAACGATAAGTACGTAAGATGAATTATAAATAACGTGATAATAAAAATAATAATTATCGTTATTATAATCGTCTTGCATGATAATGCTATCACCAATAAAATAAAATATACAGCGTAATAATAGGTTGTGTATACGTAATGCTTAAGCTACAAAAATCGTATTGCGTATCGTATAAAAAAATTGCGTTCAACACATTTATAGATATTACATTTCCAGAATGTGATCGGTGCGACTAAAAAAATTTTGATGCTAACAAACGGATATAACATGCTGCATTTAAATATAATTAATATTTCGTATACTGATAATACGTAATAATTAATAAATAGTTATTAACAATATTTAGAAAAT